ATAGGCCTTATTGCACACATTGTAAGATTCTTGGACATACTATGGATCGTTGCTACAAGATCCATGGATATCCTCCTGGATATAAATTCAGGTCCAACAACAATTCTAATGCTGCTGCTCATCAACTTTCTACTTCTGATGATAGACCAGATTAGTCTAATTCTTTTGGAGGTTTTGTTCAGAATCTGAACTCCAATCAATATCAATAGCTAATGTCCATGCTTTCTACACATTTGAGTAACTCAGCAAAGGTCACCAATACTCTTGATCCTTCTCAAACTAACTGCCTCGTAGGTATTTGCTTCTCTATGTCTTTGAGTCCTCCAATTTCATCCAATCAGTTCTAGATTGTAGACTCAGGAGCTACTCGACATATTTGTTCACAAGCCAATGCCTTTGTTTCTTTGCATTCTATTCATCACACCATAGTTACTTTGCCAAATTATTCTCAGATTTTGGTCCATTTTGTTGGTGATGTTAAACTGAATTCTGACCTTGTGCTTAAAGATGTATTGTTTGTCCCTCAATTCAAATTCAACTTGATCTCAGTCAGTGCTTTAGTTATTGGGTCTGGTTTTACAGTGAGTTTCCTTCCTGACTGCTTTGTTATCCAGGATCTTTCAACCAAGAGGATGATTGGCAGGGGTGACAAAGTCCAAGATCTCTATGTTCTTAATGTTCAGTGTTTGAATTCTATTTCCAATGCTTTTGTCAATAATGTTTCTACTCATATTTGGCATAATAGGCTAGGACACATTTCCTTTAAGAGACTTGATTCTTTGAAAGATCAGTTGAAATGTGATGTGACTAGATTACATAAGTCAAATCCTTGTTATATTTGTCCTCTTGCTAAGCAAAGAAGGCTGTCATTTGAATACAATAATCATTTGTCCAAATCTCCTTTTGATCTTGTGCACTGTGATATTTGGGGGCCATATCAAACTATTTCTTATATTGGTCATTGATTTTTCTTGACTCTTGTTGATGATTGCACTCGTTTTACTTGGGTTTATTTGTTGAGGAATAAATCTGATGCTGTCTCAGTGGTACCGAAGTTTTTCAACATGGCTTCAACTCAGTTTAATGCCAAAATCAAGATGTTTCGATCTGAAAATGTACATGAGTTATCTTTTGCTGATTTTTTCCAAGATAAGGGAGTTTTGCATCAGTTTTCATGTGTTGACGGGCCCTAACAAAACTCGGTTGTGGAGCGAAAACATCAACACCTCTTGAATGTGGCTCGGTCATTGTTTTTTCAATCCAGGATTCCAGTTTCTTTTTGGATAGATTGTGTTCTTACTGCGGTTTTCTTGATTAACAGAACTCCTTCTCCACTTTTGAGGCACAACACACCTTTTCATTTGTTATACAAAACAGCTCCTGATTACACTCATTTTTGAGTTTTTGGCTGTTTAGCATTTGTTTCCACCTTAGCTGCTCATCGAACCAAGTTCCAACCTCGTGCTCGAGTTTGTGTTTTCCTTGGTTATCCAGCTGGTGTGAAAGGTTATAAATTTTATGATGTGGAGACCAAACAAGTTCTTCTTTCACGAGATGCAGTGTTTCACGAGGAAGTGTTTCCTTTTCATGCTATTACTAGTTCAGATCAAGTTACTGATCTATTTCTAGATTTGGTTCTGCCACATTCTTCATTACAAGCTCATTTTATTTCAGATTTTGCTTCTTTACATGTTCCTGATCCACCTGTTATTTCTGACGTTCCAACTAATCTTGCCATTGACTGTCCTGATACTAATTTTCCAATTGTTTCTCCCTCTAGTGTTGTTTCTACTTCGGTAGCTAATCTTCTCATTGACTGTCCTGATACTAATTTTCCAATTGTTTCTCCCTCTAGTGTTGTTTCTACTTTGGTAGCTACTATTCCAGTAGATGATATTACAACAATTGTTCCTTCTACATCTAGTGATGTTGTTCTTCGAAAATCTACCAGAGCAATTTGTCCACCTAATTACTTGAAGGATTATCACTGCAATTTACTTGCTGGTTTTCCTTCTCATGCTTCAACTTCCACATCTTATCCAATCTCTAACTACATATCTTATCATGTTCTTTCTAATTCACACAAATAGTTTGTGCTCAGTGTATCCTCTCAGGTTGAGCCTCAATACTATCACCAAGCAGTGAAGTTTCTTGAATGGAGATTGGCTATGCATGAAGAGTTGAAAACTATGGAAGTAAACAAAGCTATGGAAGTAAACAACACTTGGACAATCACTTCTCTTCCTCCTGACAAGCATACCATTGGCTGCAAATGGATTTACAAGATCAAGCTTAAATCGGATGGAGCTATTAAGCGATATAAGGCTCGTTTGGTAGCCAAAGGCTATACACAACAAGAAGGTTTGGACTTTGTTGAAACTTTTTCTCCAATGGCAAAATTAGTGACTGTGAAGGTTCTTCTTGCCCTTGCTGCCTCACATAATTGGCATCTAGCTCAATTTGATGTCAACAACGCCTTTTTAAATGGCGATCTTTTTGAGGACATCTATATGGATCTCCCTCTCGGCTATCTTCGATAGGGGGAGTCCTCTCCGTCTCCAAGCAAACTAGTATGCAAGCTTCACGAGTCCATTTATGGTCTCAAGCAAGCTTTGAGACAATGATATTCCAAATTTTCTCAAGCTTTGCTCAAATTTGGCTTTCTTCAGTCAAAATCTGATTACTCTCTTTTTACAAAAGGTCATGGATCCTCTTTTGTTGCTCTTCTAGTTTATGTGGATGATATCATCCTTACTAGTCCTTCACCTCAAGCTATTGATGAGCTCTAGCAAGTTTTGAGACAATGGTATTCCAAATTTTCTCAAGCTTTGCTCAAATTTGGCTTTCTTCAGTCAAAATCTGATTACTCTCTTTTCACAAAAGGTCATGGATCCTCTTTTGTTGCTCTTCTAGTTTATGTGGATGATATCATCCTTACTAGTCCTTCACCTCAAGCTATTGATGAGCTCAAACAGTTTCTGCATACATAGTTTAAGCTCAAGGATCTTGGTTGTCTCAAGTACTTCATTGGTCTTGAGATTCCTCAGTCCAAGCAAGGTATTGTGCTTTCTCAACGTCATTACACCTTACAATTACTTGAGGACGCTGGATACTTGGCTTGTAAGCCCATTGCTGTTCCAATGGATCCAAAACTTTGTTTAACTGCCATTGACGGTGAACTGCTTCCTGATATAACCAACTATTGGTGGCTTGTTGGGAAACTTCTTTATCTCACTTTATCTCGCCCAGATATTACTTTTGCAGTTCACAAGCTCACTTCATTCTTGGCTCAACCTCGACTACCTCATCTCAAGGCAGCGCATCACCTGCTTCGTTATCTCAAGCAAAGTCCTGGTCAAGGGTTATTGTTTTCTTCTAATTCTTCCTTGCAGCTGAGAGCCTTCTCTAATTCTGATCGGGGATCATGCCTTGATTCTCGACACTTACTACAGGTTTTGGCATCTTTATTGGCGACTCTTTAGTCTCTTGGAAGGCCAAAAAGCAGACCACCGTCTCTCGATCCTCAACTGAAGCTGAGTATAGAGCTCTTTCTTCTACTGCCAGTGAGCTCATTTGGTTGCAGCACCTTCTTAATGACTTTCAAGTCAAGGTTGATTCTCCTGCTTTACTATATTGTGACAATCAAGCTGCGATACATATTGTCTCTAATCCAACCTTTCATGAACGAACTAAGCATATCGAGATAGATTGCCATTTTGTTCGTGACAGAGTTACTTCGGGAGTTCTCAAATTGCTTCCCATTAGATCTCAATACCAATTGGCTGACATGTTACTAAACCTCTCCCATCTCCTCAACTTTTTGCTTTGCTGTCCAAGATGGCTGTAAAGGACATTTACAAGCCACCTTGAGGGGGAGTATTAGGGTGTAATATTGTAGATTAGAGTTTGTTAGACATATACAGATGTCATTTGTTCATTGGTTGTACAGAGTAGACAGATTGTAATTTTTCTTCCCTGCTATTTTTATTAGTTTTTTCCTCTTTTGTAACTGTTCGATGAATGAATAAAGATCATTTCCTTCTTGGCTCTTCTTCTTCTCAAGCTTAATATTTGTCAACTGACACAAATCTAACTAACGTTCTCAGAATATTTTAGATTGCTGATTCAGTATTGGTGTTTCTTTATTAAAATGTGTGGGCTTTAAAAGGTGAACAGGTTGAGTAAAGTTGAGGTGGTGGAGTTTGTTAATCTGTTTTTTGGCTATGGATCAAGCTGATATTTTATGCATTATCATTGTATATTTCTCACTCTTTTCAACCTTAGTGTTACCCGCTTTTAAGGGCATGGTACTTCCTCATGCTCTTCCATCCAATCCAAAAAAGAAATAAAGATTGTTTCTTGATTTTTTTTTCCAATTCCAAAAAATATAAAACTTATGTTTTACTGTCTACCTGTCAGAAAAACCTCAATATAGTTTTTCGTTTCTTTTTGTCTTCTCAGATCGTTCTAAGTTTGCAAAATTTTCATTCTTCTTTGTTATTTCAGTGCGGACATATGTGAAGAGAAGTTTTTGGCATACTTCTGGTGGTTTTATGATAGATTGAAGGCGTGTACAGATATGTTAAATTTGATTTCCTATTTGTTGTAAAAAATTTGATTCATTTTATGAGCCTTTTTATGATATTTTTACCGATATTTTGGTCAATCATTGTGGGAGTAACATTGCAGGAGTGTTGTTGATTAATAATTTGAAGCTTCTTTTTGACTATTTTTCCTAATACTTAATGTTCCTCTTTGGTTCGTATATGCTCCTTAAAATCAAAGTTCTAAATATTGGAACAAACTCACAGCATTTACATTCATGATGGAATTCTATAATGAATTGTTATGAATATGAGGCCGTCATTATGCAACTGTGTGCTACAGAGTTCAACATTTTTTGCTTTTAGACTATTTGCGCGTGTTGCTAATGCAACCGATATTAATGAGAAATTGAAGATGGCAGAAGAAATTCTGAGTAGTTTTCTTAATTACTTCATATGACTTCTGGTGATGCTGCTGGTTCTGTGATCGGGTCTTCCCAAGGACTTGACTGTGTTGCCATCCACCAATTTGCTCTTTACTTATCCCTGAGCGGCCTGCCTTTTTTTCAGAGAAGCCAAAAACAAAAAAAATCATGCATTTGGTTGAAAACCTTTCAGGTTGATCTGGCTATTTTGTACTACCTCTTCTGGGAAATTCCTATGAACCCATAGGGACAGCATGCTGTTTTTACTGTCTTTATAGAGAGAAATAAATGGACTACTTATAATTCTACAACTCCAAAGCACATTGCTTTCGTAGAAATATAAAGTTTCTCGTACCCGGCTTTTGCTATTAAAAGCAAAATTAAAGAACTTGGGATCTAATGGAGTGAAACAAAGTTTCATCTGCATGACTCGTACTGTAGAGTGGAAAGCTGGACTAGCCTAATTGATGTTATTGCCATGGTGACTCAAAGGGGCTACATTTTTTCATCCGGAAGTTTTGATTGAAACGCTATGTGCTGGATTTGAACATTGAATCATTTTTAACTGCTTATATAAACAGTAACATTTTTCTGTTAATATGAATTAGAGATATATTTTTAATATAACTGGATAAATGGGTTGGTTATTGGATGGCATCCTAGTTAATGGCCAATCCACGCTAATGCTAGAATGTCCTTTACTCCTGTTTGTAGACCAAAATACAATGGGAAGAATGTAAATGGGGAATCAGTCGTCTAGTTCAATTTCACCAGCCATTTGCATAAGATCCATATCTGCTCTCATATTGTATTAATCAACAGCGAGAAAAAATGAAAAAAGGCTATTTATTTGTTTTAATGTGCTTTCTTTGGACCATGTGTGTTTCATGGGTTCATTTTTGGTGGTTCTGTGGTCAATTGTAAGCAGGGAAACACCAGTGATGAGATACCTATGCCTACTTATTTTCGTTTCCTTCCCTTGCTTGCCTTCAAAATATTTGCTGCAGAGCAGGTATACGTGTAATTCTGTTTTTGAAATTACATTAGCATATATCATCACATCGGATAGTCGTTAGATATATTGTCGGGGATGAAATTGTGTCCAAAAGTTTAGCTCAAAGTGGATTTAATTATATTGTGGTGCAGGTGGATGTTGCTATCATGGAGGTTGGGTTAAGTGGAAAATTTGATGCAACGAATGTGGTAGGCATTAGATATGTGGTTATCTTGGTCATAGAATACAGTAATTCTGCTCATCAGATGGTTAATGCTTGCATCCTATTGAAATTCAGGTTCAGACACCGACTGTGTGTGGTATATCTTCCCTTGGATATGACCACATGGAAATTCTTGGTTAGCATTCTATCTCCATGATTTTTTGGTGACAACATAGTCTTGGTTTTTCTTTGTCCATGATATACCTTGCTGCCGGTCAAACCTTGCTAATGCGGGTTGCTTGAGTCTAGCCAGTGACAGATATTCAGAGCTATGACATAAATCAACAATCGTTTATTATTATTCTTCTTTTTCTTTAGTTTTGAATATCAGTCTGTCAAGTATGCGTCATGCTGGAATTTCTGGACACAACTTAGGAGTTATGGTCACAACACTAATCACTACTTTTAACATAGGCACCCGTTATTTTTCTTTGTTCATAATGTGTACTCCTTGGATGCTACCCAGCTCAGGTGGTGCCAACCTAATATGGTGGCTGTTTCAGTATAGCCAAAAAGATACAGAATTCTGAAATAAATCACAAAGCTTCTTTTGTTAGGTTGATTTTATATAGCGTGCTGTATTCATTTGTCTGTCAGCAGAAAACACTCTTGGAGAAATTGCCGGGGAGAAGGCTGGTATTTTCAAGGTGTTTTAGACTTATATTTCTTTTATTATATACCTCTGAATTGGGGTTCTTCTTACATTCCCTAAACTCATACTCTTATTTATTTTCTCCCTTTCTTTTTAATTCGTTATTTTTTTCTTTGCTGATTTGTTATTTTCTTGCATTCTCTATTGACATAGCTTGGAGTTCCAGCTTTTACTGTGCCCCAACCGGATGAAGCAATGTGTGTGCTTGAAGAGAAGGCTTCCCAGTTGGATGTGAGTTGAGAATCTTTTCTATTAGTGACGATGGTCTGCTACAGTTTATAAGGACATATTCAGAATCTTGCTCCTAACAAGATTGATTACTGTGGATCAACATGGGGACTCTACCCTGTTTTGACTTTGGAGGATGGTAGTTAACTTGGCTTGGGTTGGTAGCTCAAGCCACAGGTTTGAATTGTAGAATGCAACCCTATAAACAGTTATAAGGCCTAAAAATGGCTGTACCTCTCTTTTTAATAGAAGGGAAAAGCAAAAGAAAAAAAACTTTAACCTGCCATTTTGATTGGTTCAACAAAACAGGATTCTTTCAGGATACTCCTTTGGATTCTGATTACAATTTTGATTTTTAACTTGAGAATTTATGGGACTTGAACCCATGGCCTTGGAAGAGATACCTGCTCATCATGCTGCATGGGCTCTGAGGCCTGTGGTGTAGTCAAGGACCTTAAGTTGCAGCAGCTACCTTGGTTGCCCCTACCTAACTTGTGCCATGATAAATTGGAAAGAGTCGTATAATGTGGTGTTTAACAGAGTTTTGAACAGATTATGCTCATTACAGGTACATCTTCAAGTAGCAGCCCCGTTAGACATCAACTTGCTGAATGGTCTACATCTTGGGCTTGACAGTGAGCACCAATATATAAATGCTGGTCTTGCTGTTGCATTAAGCTCTACTTGGCTTCAAAGGACTGGCCATCTTGAAGTCAATTACCTGCTGCAACAGACTGTAAGTTATGTCAGCAGACAGTATTCCATTCAATTTGTGGCTTGGTATGGTAAACATCGTTCCTTTGGTTTTTGTATTGGAATAGACCTCTCTGCCTGAGCAATTCATTAAAGGGTTAACAACTGCTGCTTTGCAAGGACGGGCTCAAGTTGTCCCTGATCAGCTGATGGGGATTGAAAGCCCCGGAAATCTCGTGTTCTACTTGGATGGAGCCCATAGTCCTGAAAGCATGGAAGTATGTGCAAAATGGTTCTCTCTTGCAATCAAAGATTACCATGAGCCAATGTCCTTCAGTAATTTGGTAGATGATTATAAAAGAGCTTCACTTGAATCAGTACGGATGGACCACCATGAGACTTCCAAGAAGAATCTCACACAGGTAAGGGCCTTTCAACCTTGTTGGATCTGTATAAGTTGAGGAATTCATAAGATAGGCGATGTAATATCTAAATTCTTTCATAGATATGTTAGAGAGCATGTATAAACTGCCTGAATTGGCAAATGAGAATGTGGGTTTGTGCTTGAAAGCAGCCCCCATGAGCGTATTATGCAAATGTTTGGCTTATCTCCAGTTGACCCCTCATAGCAACCCATATTGGTGGCAGCAGCAATTACTAATGCCCTTTTAATTTTTTAAGAGTCTAGACTCTAGAGCCACCTTGGCAGGTGGAGGTTTGAGCTTTGAACCCTATACTTTTGTTACTCATTTAGATAACCTGTGGTTCTATGGTGGCAAAAAAATGAAAAACTCAATTTTAAAAAGCTTGGGTAAGCTTAACTTATGCAATGTAATAGCTTTTTATGCAGTGTTATTCAACCCAGCATGGTGGATCAACCCGGGAACCCCACCAACCAGTGCATGAACTGGGTCAGTCCATAAATTAGATCGCCAGGCACCTTTTATGGAACCCCTATAAAACAGACAGTTTGCATTATTCCGCACGGGCCTATTTCTTTATATTAAGACAATCATTGTTTTGCCCTAAAATAAAATATTCGCTCTCGGCCTAAGCTCATGATAGCTCCAGCTCTGCTCCCCTCATCTTGAGGCTGCCTAGCCAAGGCTACTTTTCAGTGCTAGAGGTTGTGGTTGAAGTATACTTCTTATAGACGCATATTCCTCCTTTTTTTCTTATGCCTTTTCGATGTGGAATGAATATTACCACTGAGATGCGTTACCACTGAAATGCATTACCCCTGAAATGCTTTTTTTCCAATTCTTTTATACCTCTTCAGTACCTGTCTTGTTCTTACAATTTTTTTGTCTTTTTGTTTGGTCATTACAGTGTTACATATTGTTTACAATGGGCTTTTGGTCCAATGATACTCCTTACCTTGTGAAGGTTTTATCTTCTTGCCCGCTCCCCCTCCCAAAAAAAAAAAGTATTCTGCTTAGGCCAATCTTCAATACCTATTTGTGGATTTTTTGATACTTATTAGATCTTATAAATTGTCTAAGAAAATCAATAGAATTGATATTTTTGTGTTTTTTATTTGATATACTATACCTAAAACATGATATATCTATAACTATGGTAAGTTTTTAGTATAGTGATAATCATTAATATATATTTTTTATTTGTTATTGTATGACCAATCCGACTGGTGGACCCATTGACCTGGTTGCTTGCCAAGTTGATACCCAAACCGGTTTTAGTAACTATGTTTTTATGCCATGAAAAGGCAGAGAATGACAAAGGAGATCTAAATATTTGGATGCACACTGTTTGGATGCTTTATAAACAGATGCACTCTTTATTGCTCATGTGGTAAACATGACTGTGGACAAAATTTGAACTGGCTGAATCATCTTAAACTCCCAACTAAAAATCAGATTCTTTGCCGAATTCTGCCTTCGTTTCCATCTCAGTGAGATCTTTTGTATACCATCCAATTCTATGATGTCATGTGAAACCTGAGATAAAAAAGTGTGCGCCCATTAATGCATCAGTCAGTAAGCCAAGCAGTATATGTTGCAATTAAGTTGTGCCTTTTACTTCTATTAGTTTTAGACGTTTTCCACTTGTAAAGTTGCTCTAATGGTATCAAACCCCAACAATGGGAGTTTCTGACTTCTCCCCATACTGCCTTGTTTGTCTTACTTCCAGGAATTTCTACATTCAAGAAATGGGGATATGTACCCTAAGATGCATTGAACCCCATAAAGCTGCGTGTTCACAGTGAACTTATTTTTAGTTGTGTATTCATCATATATTGCAGAATTTTATACTATGGCTGTTATGGAACACCTTGATTTCTGGAAGTTCAAAATCTTTTTTTTATCAGAAGAGATATTGCACATGTCTCTCACTATGCATTTGTTAATGCGCCATTTTTAATGCAGATTTTGTTGTTCAATTGTATGTCAGTGAGAGACTCTCAGTTGCTTCTTCCACGCCTGATGAATGCTTGTGCTAGTCATGGTAAATATTTGAGCTACGTGTACCTATTGAATTATTACTTTAATTAGTGGATTTGGAGGGATGATACAACAAAGAGTTAATGTGCATGTTCTTCTGACGTGATCTAGACGAA